CTTTTTAATTTTTACAGTAGGAGCTAAAGGTCTGTTTCAGGAAATCACATCCCCAGCAATCCACGGTTGTAGGATTAAGCTGTAAACGAGTTCCTACACCACTAGTTGGCAGTGTTGTGCATATTTTTTACATGAATTATTGTCAGCTAGTAAGTGTCAAATTGAACTTATGCTTTAAAATTAGCTTCCGCTAGTTTTTCAATGGCATTAGCACTTTTGAAGTTGCGGACCTAAATATTTTCAATTCAAATTCAAAAATACTTTATTGATCCCAGAGGGAAATTAGGTAAGTGCTTTTTATAAGTGCTTTAGAAATTGCGGAGCTAAATTTTGGGTTAGCGCTGCCCACCACTGTCAGTTTGCTTTGCGTTTATGTTCTCTGAGACATTTTTAATAATTTTACTATACAGACAACTTGTACGAACAAACAAGCCTAGATGAGTTTTTTTTTTAGATACTGAGGTCACTTTTGAGCCTCACCTCCGTTTATCAAACCTAAAACATTAAATAACCTCTCACTGAAGAGTTTCAGGGTTAATGTTCATTTAATTTAAATAAAACACCCTCTTATACATAAACTAGATGCAACATTATATATGTTTTTGTTTCCAAGCCACATCATCTTAAATCTTTTGAAAATATAAAATCACTTCGCCAAACCTCCACTCTTATCGTTATTTCTTCACATCCTCTCTCTTTCTGTGCATTTTTAAAGTTTTATATTTTGACCAGCCCATCGTTGTTGCTGCTGCTCGTTTTTATTTTCTCCATTCTAACAGAAACCTAAAATCCATAACAAACTCATCCTGTCCACAGCTGGAAAACTAAGCAACCACAGCAACATGAACCCGACTAATTCCATTTAGCTTCCTGGACCTTCCTGGTACTAAAAACAAACCCAAACGCTTTTTTTTTTAAAAGAAAAGCAGCTGCTCCATCTTTATTTCTGGCATCTGTTCTCGTGTGATGTCTTGCTTCTCCTCAGCGGTGTGGATGAGRGACGAGTGGCGTCCCTCACTTCCTCTGCTTCATCTGTCTGTTTGGATTCTCCTGGAAAATGTTCAGTCATTTGTGTTTTAAATGTCTTTAATGTGTTTTTGTTTTGTTTTGGATGCACCTCTCATTCTCTGGCTTTTCTGAATCRAGGGGTTCTGTTTTGGTTCTGGTTTGGTTTTTTTAAGGCGGGGATAGATGAGTGAAAGGAGGCTTGGCTTGTAGGGAGGGGGTGGATGAGGCATGAATCTATCCCTGAAGTAACAGCTGCTCCTTCTGGCTGCCACTCAAACACAAGCCCCTCCCACTKTCTCTTATTTTATTTTTAACACCTCCAGCTCATCCTGCGTTCTGCTGCTCTAACCGCCTCCTCTACTTGTTTGTTTTGTGTCTGTTCGCGGTTGATTGGTGCGTTACAGAAGCAGAAGAACATCGCKGGAGCGCTGGCTTTCTGGATGGCCAACGCCTCCGAGCTGCTCAACTTCATCAAGCAGGACCGAGACCTGAGCCGGGTCACGCTTGACGCCCAGGACATCCTCGCCCACCTCGTCCAGATGGCCTTCAAGTCAGTGTTTTGTCTGTTTTGCAGGGTGTCTGCGGGTCCTTAAAAATCCTTAAAGTCTTAAATTCACATGTCTAAAATTAAGACCTTAAAGTCTTAAATTCACATGTCTAAAATTAAGACCTTAAAGTCTTAAATTCACATATCTAAAATTAAGACATTTAAAAGTCTTGAATTCACATATCTAAAA